AAAAAGGAAAAGGAGGTAAATATCCTAAAGACGCAAATAAATCAACATCTAAACACACTTGACTCCACAACATTTTTTGAAAGTGAAAATCTACTAACACAAAAACTTGCTGCAGATATTAAGAAGACACAAACAAACAAATACGAAAAACTAAAAGACAAACAAAAACAACTTTTAAACATAAAGGGTGTACCAGGGTGGTTCTGCAACACGTCAACTACGCAAATTCCTAATGACATTCAGTGGCTTCTTTCTCTTGGTCCTAAATTTGCCTTACCAACAAGTAATAAAGAATTTCCATTATTTCAATTTATAGCAGATGGGGAAAACTGCATTCAAAAAATCAAGGATAAAGAAAAACAAGAAATCGAAAGGAACAACTTGACGACACTAATACGTGACCATCTCAATAAGAGAACAGAATCAACGAGAAATAAGTTTATTCGCGATACTGTACATGCCACAAAAACATTTTTAAAGAACAATAAACACCTTTTAGTTCTTAATGCCGATAAAGGGAACGTAACCGTAGTTATGAACAAGGCTGAGTACGATACAAAGATGCAGTCAATCGTCAACAACATCTGCACTTATAGAATTTTGAAACGTGACCCAACCAGTAAATTACAAGACAAAAATAATGAAATAGTGGAGAGATTATATAATAACAAGGCCATTGATTTAAAAGAAAAGAACAATCTTATTAGTAAAACAGCCAATCCACCAAGAATCTATGGTTTACCAAAAATTAATAAAGAAGGGATACCCCTCAGACCCATTTGTTCGTCCATCAAGTCCCCGTCCTACAATTTGTGCAAATACGTTGCCAATATCCTTAGAAACATTACAAAATCGTCCAATTACAATGTTAAAGACGCGATTGATTTCAAGAACAGGATTAAAGATAGTTATATATATGATGACGAAAGTTTGGTGTCGTTCGATATTGTTTCGTTATTCCCAAGTATCCCGGTGGATTTGGCTATAAATATTATTGCCTCGAAGTGGAATGATATTAAAGAGCATACAAATTTGTCTAAGGATTTATTCTTAAGTATGGTAAAATTTTGCATAAAAGACAATCGATATTTTAAATATAATGGCAAACTATTTGAGCAATTGTCAGGAATGCCTATGGGCTCCCCAGCTTCACCAGTGATAGCTGATATAGTAATGGAAGATTTACTGACCAAATTTGAAAGTGATTGTTCTAATAAACCGCGTCTCCTAACCAAGTATGTGGATGATTTGTTCGCGATAATTAAAACAGAAGATATAGACAAAATGCTTACTTTATTAAACAGCTACCAAAAGACGATAAAATTTACGATAGAAATAGAAAAAGATGGAAACCTACCATATCTGGACACCCTAGTAATCAGGAAGAACAACCGATTAAAAATTGACTGGTATGCAAAACCTACGTCGTCGGGGAGATTAATTAATTATAATTCGAAACATGAGAGGAAGACTATTTTAAACACCGCAACCAATTTTATTAGAAGAGTTCTCATTATTAGCGACAAACATTTTCATAAAAGGAACAAAAATATAATCCAACAAATTTTGGAACAGAACGAATTCCCCTCTTGCCTAATTAGGAAAGTCATTCAGAATTATTACGTCAGGACCGATAAAGAAAATACTTATAATGAG